TTCATTTTAAGAAGCTATATAAATTCATAATTCTGTAAGTACAAGAAGATGTAATTTCCTCTTTTCCATTCATTTGAGTCCCAGAAATCCGTGGTTATTACTTTCCTTCAGTGTCGATCCTTTCCTGTTCCTTTTCCATTTGCTATTAACGCAGTATTCTTTCACTATAGAAAGCTGATAACACGAATCACACAATGCTTTTTGGAACGAAGTATCTCTGAATGTGACTTGGTTTCATTTTGAGATTTAAAATTAACATGAATGTTCTAAAAACACCATTTATAATGGCCACATATATTTTTTAAGTTAAATATTTGATCAATATTTAGTGTTTTAAATAATTATTGCTCATTCATTCAATCTGTAATTCAAGGACTTTAGAGGTTACAGAATTAAATTTTGTCTCAGTTATTGTGTTGTGAACAAAATAAATGACAGGAGTTTATTATTATAAACTTTTTAATTGTACTCTTCCCAGCTGTGAAGATAGCCTGTTTTGCATTCAGAGAAAGTTATCTGGTCCCTGTTCACATTGTAGTCAGATTTAGATGTTTAAGAAAGCTAAGTAAAATGCCCTTGTGATTGTCAAACACGACTGAACCATTACCTCATTATAAATAGATACTGCTAGTAACTCATCCCCCATGATGGCAGTTCAAGAGAATGTGACGTTATTGGGTAGTTTGTAAAACAATGCTTTTATTTTTGTGGTCAGCAACAACAACTAAGTTCGTTCCTTGTATGGAATGCCATGGAAAGCTTTAGGTTATTGTTATTGCAAGATACTTGATTTTGTCAGGACAGCAGTAGCTAGCCAGAAAAAAATATTTTTTTCATAAATTCTTTCTTTTTTTCCCTTTTCAAAAAAAAATCTTTAACTTGGCTATTTTTGCATTAGTTTTGCCCTTCAGATTTCATTTGTGCACGCACGCACGCACGCACACAGAAAGCCATTGACACATACACAATGACAAACATACAGGTCTCCCAACAGTCCTGATTTCTCTTGGCACATGCAAAGAGCACTTCATCAGTACACTCTGCATGGATTTCCATGCTGGAGTCTGGCTAAGCAAGCCTGTTTATTATCTGCATCACTAGCGATGCCTCCATTGTTATCCCATACCTCCCAATGTTGGTAGTGGGAAGTATGCACACACAGATACCCACAAACAATGACACACACACAGATACATAGTAACACACAAACACACAGATTTACACACACTGACATACACCTAGAAATACATAGACACACACTGACAAACACACACAGAAGTAAATCAATATCAACATATGTTTAGCCACCTTTCTGTTTCCATTCTTTTAGTGTGCAAAGAGGGTAACTTCCTATGGGTGTGGCAGAAGTGACATGCAATCACACCACCTCTGTCTCCGCACTGCCACACAAGGAAGCAGACGGGCTATCCCAGTCCATCCAGGGATCTGGGTCATGCTCTGTTAAATTAAGTTTCATTTGGAGAGTTAATTATATATATTCAACTGGACCACATAGTGTCAACGGCCCCAAGTTGGCTTTAACATAGTGATGCCTGCCCTGCTTCTGAATGCCCCAAATGATATATGTTTTATTGGTCAGGAGTGTGATATATGCTAGAAAGTTTTTATTCCTAAAAGCACATTCTGCTAACACATCCGTGTTTGGCAGAGCAAGCTTTTAAAATAAAAGAAAGCAGTAAAGCAATGTATTGCTGTCATGTGCAATAAATGTATCCAATTCTTCATTGCTGAAGAACACATCTCCACTGCAGGAACTTGGCTGTTTTTTATTATTTTACATTTGTCTTCGTGAGAGAAAGGCTTTGCTTATCTGTGTACTAATGCAAAGGATTTCTAGATTACAGAGAACATAGACAATGTTATTATCCTTTCAGTGCTGAAATTACACAATACTAACATTTTAAATTACAAAGGTGTTACAACTGTGCACCTTTTGTTATTAGTATTTTCTCACAAATTCTATATCCCAGTCTAACACAGTCTTTATAAAAGTAAGACAAGAAAGTCAACATACATTTTTAATATAAATTGAACATATTTCAAACAACCTGTTTTATAAAGGGTTACTATAACCCTTTTCGATAGGGAAACGTTCCCAGTGTAATATGCTCTACTGGGCACTGTGAAAAAAGACTTCAAATCATAGTGGTCATTGTGGTTGGAGTAACCCTTTAATAGCAATATAAATTATCACTGATCTCTAATTTTAGAAAGAATAAAGGCGTTATTAATGGCTTTCTAAACCTATAACTTGTGTATTAGAATTTAAGATTTTCCTAGTCTCAACGTCAGAAAATATAGATTTTTATTAAACTCAGGAGGCTCATATTATGCATTAACTATTTTTAGTGAACTCCAACAGCAAAGAAATTTCAATAAAGTTTAGTGAAACAATATAAGAAAAAGAATCAAGTAACTGAAATGGAATATTCAGTAGCCAATCAGTATTCTGTGTATCTATATACGGAATGACCCCCAATCCTCTTCTTCTTTAGACTTTAGAGAAGTAATTCAACCAAATAATTCTTAGAACAGGTAAAATGTAAAACACCAGAAAAAACTCCAAACTGGATCAAGCTGAAATACAAATAAGAGGGTGGGTTAATGAGTTAATGGGTTAATGGGAGGGATAATACTCACCTCCTGTCTTTAATAAAATCTATATTTTCTTATGTTAAGACTAGGAACATCTTGAATTTTATAACAAGATAGGAGGCTCATATTATGCACGTTAAAAACTGAAATATAATAATAATATGAATACATATCTAAACGAATTACAGCATTACTTTTGAAACTTGCGTGTTAGGTCTAAAATAACACTTTTTAAATGTAGATTTCGAAGACCAATCTGCAGCTTTTTTATAAATCTGAGCCTCCTGCTTGAAAAAACTTTAGTAGACAAAGCTCCTCTAGAAGAGTGAGCTCCAAATATAGAGATATCAATACCTGCCATGGACATAGTTTGCCTTACCCATCTAGCTAAAGATGTAGAAGAGACAGGGAGAAAAGTGATTAACAGTAGAGATAAATTAGAATGTCTTAAGGAAGACCTTTTAAGCTCATATGTTTGAAGACAGTTGACAACACATAAAAGAGGGTGATTGGGAAAAGAAGGAGAGAAAACCAAGTGTAGATTAGTTTTAGTACGTCTAACAATAAAAAATTGAACCCCATCTGGAGTGTATTATTCATTATTGAGGTCCAAAGCCTTAACATCAGAAACTCTTTTAAAAGAAATGAGACAAAGTTAAACAGTAAGTTTAAATGACAGGAATTTCAAAGATAATGAGTCATTGTCACCCCAAGATTCTAAAAACTAGAAAAACCAGGTTTTTTTCTGACAATACATTCAATTGCTTATGCAAATTTTGACGGTAAAATGGCGTCATGATTATAGGACATATAAAATACAAAGCAAATTAATACTAATGCTAAAATAACAGGTAAATTATACAGGATGTGAAAATGTTATATATTTTTTTAAAACAAGGGTTGTATCTAGAAAAATCTTTTCAGGAAGTGTAGGGGAACGGTCACGTGGTGCGCAATAAATTGTGACATGATACCACGTGATCGGCCCTAGGTCCTTATGGGAAAGGTATGCTACACTGAGAGGATTCTAATTTGCCTAAATTAGAAGCCTCTCACCTCCTGAAAAGTTTTTTCTATATACAACCCTCGTTTTAATAAAACAATTACAATCAATTGTCCATTGAGCATGTATCTGAAGAGTATGTAAACTCTGTGACATGATTAAAATATCATCTAAGTATATTATCATTCTTACACCTCTGCTTCGCAGAAGCAATAATTTGGTGAAATACTAAGGTGCAGAGGAAAACCAAATGACAATGATTTGAATTGCCATTTCTTCCCTTCCGATATGAATTGTAAGTAACTCTGACAAGAGTGGTGAATAGGTACTGTGAGGTACGCGTCTTTCAAGTCTATTTTTATCAACCAGTTGTTGAATATTAACAAATTTGTGAGATAATAAATACCTTCCATCTTGATATGATGGTATCTAACAAAATGGTTTAGGTACTTTCAATTTATGACTTGTCTGTGACCAGCATCTTTCTTTGTTACCCGGAATAAATTGCTTATGAAACCTGGATGTTCATGGGTACCTGGATAATGGCATTTTTTGAAAACAAATTGAATATTTCTTGATGTATCAGAGTCTGATCTTGACTAAAAAATTTTATTGGGAAAGGTACCTGTCTTTGAATGTGATTTAATATGAAATCTATTTTGTATCCCAGAACCATATTTAAGATCCAGGCATTGTGTCTAATATGACTTCAAACATAGAAATAATGAGTAAGTCCTAAATTTTCTGGGAAAAAAGGGGAATTGTCGTACTTACTGCGCGATAATCTGAAGCAAGACATTCCTTGATGGCCTCTGGATCTCCATGGTCTGCCACAAAGTGGGAAGAAAGGAGATGTCTGTTGTGTGGATCTGTTTGCCTAGAATGAGCTCCTTGGAACCTGTCTATTTTGAGAGAAGCTGCTGGAAGAACGGTTCTGTCCTCTTCCAGGACGTCCGAAAATCTTTGGGATGACAACTCTTCTCAGTAAAGTTTGAGCTTTGTCTAAAGAAATAAATTGGTCTACATATTTATTAATATCTTTAATAAAAGAGTCTCCAAACAGGAATCCTTCTGGTATACGCTTTTTCTTCTGCCACTGGTTCTCGTTCTGTAGTGGCTAGATTAGCTAATTGTGGTCAATCTTTATGAGGATTGACCTGTGTCGTTCCATGGCTAGAGCTGTATTATCGTTTCCTAGAAAACATACAATTCGTTGTGTCCATCGTCTAAGGATATCAATACTGGGGGAACTCCCTGAAGCAGCAGACTTCAAAACTTTTTGCCACGGGACCAGAAATATCCATTAGCTCGTCCTGACAAGATTTTAGTGACCTGTCAAGTGTTTTGTTAGGATTCTTCCCTGATTTTGTTAGAAACTGTATTATGGAGGGTCTAAATCAAGGGTCTGTGCGACTTTTTTTTTTTTAGCTAAAGTCGGTCTAGGGCATTCAGCTCTCAGTTTATTCCTAGCTGTCTGGTCAAGGAGTTTCCTTAACCAATATTCAAGGTATTTCGCTATCCATACCCATTCGGCTGAACGAGGATGTTTTATTTTATCTGGATTAAATAAAGGTTTTCCTGCAGTATCTGTAATAACATTTTCATCATCTGATTTAAAAACCTGTTCAGGTACCTCAGAGTATGCGGAATAATCAGAATCAGCATAAGATTCTTCATCTTCAGAAGATGAGGATGAATCATCAGAGGAGGAGGTTTTGTAAGCGTCAGGCTTACTCCTGTGAATAGCCTTCTGAGCCCGTTTGTCTTCCTCGCGAGAAGAGGGTCTTTTGAGTAAATTACCCTCATCAAGTTGCATGATATAGGCATTTCATTTCATGGTCTTGGTCCTTCCTTTTTTTAAATGCTTTTGAGCAAGAAGGGGAATCGTAAGCAATGCTAACATTTCTGGGTGACCTTCCCAGTCCTCCTGGAGCCTTTGCCAAATTCCTTTCAGACTCTACAGATGACCAAAATTGGTCAGAGGGAGTATTCATTTCCTGAGTCTGTTGGGCAGGTTTGGTAGAATGGCTGATAGTCTGAGCCACAGATTTCGCAATTGCCTCTTGCATAGAGGACATAGCATTAAATATCACAGATGATACTGATTTGCTGATAGATAAATCAACAATATTCTGTAGTGAGTCCTCAGTGAGGATTTTACATTAATCATTAGCACCAGTAACTGATGACTGTGAAGTTTATTAAACTCTTTAGAATTCATATTCTAATAATCTGCAATAAAGTAATATTGTTTGAGATATTGTAATTAAATTGCACTAGTAAAAATATTAAATGGTAAAATAACCTGAACTGCATACAAATCTGTGTCAATGTAATCTTTTCCAGAGAAGAAACAATGTCAGCTGAGGTAAAGAAGCAGTAATGGGCAAGTAAAAGGGGGAGCAAAAGAGCTAGCTGACAACCAACTAGCTGTGAAAAAAGCCCACGAAATGACGTCAGATTGAATCTGAGGTAAAGTGAATGTATGAAATGACTGAACGGTTAATCCCGTTTCTGCCCCGAGTGAAGGGTGAAAAAAGCAGAATTTAAATGAATTAAATAGCTTTGTATCACGAAAGGAGTGTTCGCCAAAAGTTATTGAAGCATGAATAGCGTTCGGTTAAAAACACATAAATGACAAAAAACAAACGAACCGTTTGCAAAACTAAAAGGTCCTAAGAGTATAAATAATACCGTTCGCGAGTTTTGCCGCGAATGGCCTCAAGAATTAACTTTGGCCAATAGCAATAACTGAAATATAAATACCTAAAAAAATCAAATAATATAATTAAAATATATCAGAAAAGAAATATTACGAATTATAAATAATGGAATAAATAAACCAATACAAATTATAATATAATTCAAATGTTTGCTCAGTAGTTTTTTAAACTATTTGAAAAAAAGATTAGTAAAACTGTCTGGATCAGGGGATTTGGACTTTTGCAATTTTACAATGGCAGATTCAGCTTTACTGATGGGTTCATTTAAATCCCTCAATTTTATTTGATCTATTTTTGGGCACTTGGTTTTTAGTAAATATTGATTTATTTCACAATAAGGCAAAAAAAACAAAAACAAACAAACAAAAAATACCTTTATCTTATTTTTAAGTGATTACCAACTTCATCTTATGATTATCAAATATTGATTTACTCCACTGTAGTCTAAATCATAAATTTTGCTAATTGTGTAACCAGTAATATGGCTCATAATATCTGTGTGTTTAAACAACCTAAATAAGAACACTATTTAAGTGTAAATCACCCATTATCCAATGCACTTATAAATTATACAATGATCCTTCTCGATTATGACACCTACTACTTGTATACTATTAACCCCATAAGGACACATTTATTCCAGAAGTTTGGTCCTTAAGGGGTTAAACCTTTGGGTGTAAAATTAAACACATAAATATTGGACTCTCGTTTGAGCTTGACAGACACAAGAAAAAAAAATGCACTATCATTTCAGGTTATTAGCATTAGCCCAAGTTTGTAGGTTTGTAGGTGACTCAAAGTTCAACCATTTCTCCTTCCACCAGACCATTAATTTAGATGGCTATCCCCATCTATATCTAATGCTTTGCTGTTATAATGGTGCCAAAGCGGAAAACAAACTCCTTCTCAACAGTCTTGTTTGGAATGAAAAGTCCTGAAAAATATCTTTGAACTGCTCATTTATATACTGGTGATCTTTATGTCTCTTCACAATTTGCTCATTATATGCGTAAGAATGAAAAGCTACGATAAGATCAATTGTTACTTGCAATGCAGCAGATTTAGATTTAGGAAGGTGATGTGCTCTTTCTATAACTGCATGGTGTTCTTCTATTGGAATATTTCATTCTTTGAAGAACGCAATTAAGAATTCATTCAGAAGGTCCTGTGTAATATCTTTCAGAATATTCCTGAATCTCAGAGTGCATCGTCTTGAGCGATCTTCCAAATCTCTGAGTTTAAGATCTATTTGAGTCATTTTAGTTTCAATGTTGCATTTATCTTCTTTTAGAATACTTAGTTGTTCGTCCATCTTTTTTAGTTTCTCCTCCGCTGAGGCTACCTGTTTTGTTAGTTCAATCAGTTCGTTTTTAATTGGGACAAAATTATTGGAGATCTCTTTAGAAATGGATGTCAGTTGGATGTCCAATTTGGCAACAAAATCTGTTTGCTCATTTGGAGGTCTTGCACTGTAAAAAGAGTTTGGTCAATAGCATTCGCTTTATCTTAGGGGAGAAAAACCTGACATTCTTGTAGGTGGAATATTATTTTTTTTTCGTTTCCTCTAACCTGTTTTTTTGTGGCCATCTTTGAAATGTTTTCTTGGAAAGAGAGTTGGCAAATTTAATCAGCCAGAGTAAAATAAATAAGGAATGATCCTATATTAGGACCTGGAAGCTCTTTGACCATAAGTTACTTGTCACAAAGTAAATTGCTGATTTTGATATATTTAGCCTTATTGTATGTATAGGAGTTTTCTCAGCTCGATCTTTGTTATTTCAAGAAAAAAAAAGAAGCAAATTAACAGTACCAAGACTAAAAAAAGAGACAAACAGTTGGTACTTATCTTATCGGTAATCACACCGAGACTATTCTCCACTCGTAGATAGTAAACTGGTCTCCACATATCAACCAAATAGCATGGGTCGATGTCTTCCCCGGTAAATTTTTAGAGCGGCAAAAAGGGGGTAAACCAGCGTTCTATTTGCCCTTCTCAGTGTGCAATTAGTCGTGCCCAGGAATTGCCCACAACTCTCTCTGGACCTCTGCCACTTGTCTCACCGCTTGAATACTGTGGTACTGCCTCCCTCTAAAGCCACCTCCAGACGGGTCTCTCGTAAATGTCTCAGACCATCCTTGCACTATTAGCAAGACATGCAGTTCGTATAAATAAGGAATGTCTCCCCTCCATTCTTCGTTCCTTTTCCTGAGAAACAATGTTTGTGAACAGCTAGATTGATACAGATTAGGAGCTGAAAAGTATTCATTCATATGTGGTGAGTGCATGTTTCTCATTTCATAAAAAGTTTTCCTGATGATTTTCTGTAAGAAAGTTCTATTTTAAAATATTCAATGGATGGGAAATGCCTTTAGGTGAAGCCTGCAGTACAGGGACTTTTTAACACCAAAATGATGTGGGCTTTCTTTGCTTCAGTGCCTGAAATTAGTAGAGAAGTGACAGGTCCTACAAGTATTTTGCTTGTGATAGCATTTTACGCATCTACCTCATGAACATCCAGGAAAAAAGGTGCCAAAATGTACTGAAGCTGGCTAAAAATAAATGATGTTGTATAACAGTTCAGAGTCGACACAATGATTAAATATAACAGCTCAGGCCTCTGGACTGTCACATCAGCAAAACACTGAGCTGAACTAAAAACTTAAACTAACTACACGTTCAGTATTTTTACAACCTTTCCAATCTACATTAACCCAATGACTGACATTCAAATGGATCCAGTTTCTTACCTTCATATAATTCTAGTATTGACAATGTTTACACACACACACACACACTCATGCACGCATGCACGCATGCACGCATGCACGCACGCGCGCACACACACACACACTCTCTATGCTATTATGTCTATGCTGTAATTATATTCTGTACCCTTATTAACTATAATGGCTATGGTTGAAATAAGAAAAAAACTAGGGCTTTGACTTCTTAATCCCTAAACTACCGAGCATTGAAAAGATATTGGCATAACATAAATTTGAAGCAAGGGATGCATATCTAGGATATAAATACATCATAACACAGCAATTTTGTGCATACATTGTTTTGCAGTCAAACTTAAAAATGTAAATCATGCGAATGTACCCAATTTTAATTTTTTATTTATTAATTCATGCTTTATAAAAATATTTGGAAAATGAAAAGCTTTACACAGTATACAGTGTCTGAATATTTAGCACAGTCTGACAAGTTAATATAAAAGGAAAAATGCAATGTTTCTCATATACAGTAGTTCTTGCAAAAATATATAACAATTGTTAAATACCTTGCTTATAGGAATTGACAAGGACTCTGAAGGCATACAATGGCAACCAAAAGTCTGAATTTGAGTGTAATGCCCGCATACAGTAAATACAGTTAAATCATATATTTCTAAAATAAATGTTTTTAAAACTGCTATAGCAATCTCTACCAATCTCTGGAATGCTAAAGGTAAAATGGTAGATTCCATTCACTTCTCCCCACTCTCTAACTGCAGGAATGATGTGACCCATTGAAATTTCCTGTACTGTTTGGTAGCATGTAGTGGCCTTATATTTTTAGCAAACTTACAGGCATTATATCAGTGACTAGTGGCTAGTATACATGAGGTTAAGTGAGGCTTTATGGAATACATTTATTAAAGCAAAATGCTTAAAAATAAAAATGTTTGTAGTCAATTTTGGTAGTTGAGGGTGTTAATATTTCATTTCTGGATTGAAGTTTTTCTGTACTACCTGCACTCCGAAATGTAAACCGCAGACATCAAAGAAACCTTCTTCTACCAAAGTTAATCATCAGACAACAAACTGCATTTTCTACTCTGCTAATGGCATAGTACTTAGATACCATTGCCAACTCCTATTTGTCCCAAACATATGTGTATTTACAGGTCCATTTACTAAACTGTAAGTTGTTAGCAGCTAACTAGAGAATCTAAAATTCTAGGACAAACCGCTGAATTGGGAACATTTTCCAATTAACTTCAGCTCGTTAGCGAATAATCCCACAACTAAGAATATGGATAAACATATAGCAAAATGTTTCTTTTTTGGTTCATGCAGTTTGAATATAACTCTTTAAATGTTAGAA